GTTGAGTGCTTTTAAAAACCACAGCTACCCATGTTTACCCCTCGTTACCCCCTCATTTCGACTAATTTATGTGCGCACATTTCCGGCCAGTGGCCAAATAGCTAATATAACTAAACCTACTTTTGTTACATTTGTGGCAACATTATTCAATTATCATGTTTAATGCCAATTTTTGGTCTGTTCGGACGCAGCGACACGGGCCATAAAACAAGCTTTTGCCACGCCTCTTTCGTTTGCGCCTGTTAATAATTAACAACTTTTGGGGCTGAAGTGTTTCTGCAGCCCGAAAGTTTTTTTTTGTATTATTTGCCTTTCTGGTTTGTTTAACCAAGCGTTGCGGACTGAACAAGCAACTGTTGTTGTTGATTGGTATAAAGGATATACATATATATATATAGAAATTCAGCTTTAAACATGAGAAAGACTTGGCAAGATGTTAGGTTACTATAAATGCATTTTAAAACATTTAACAGAAAAACAAGGTAAACAAACTTAAACGAAATGTTACTAAATCAGAGAAAGGCCATATTCGAAACAGCCAGAAGAATTTACCTTTACAAAAATTTACCTTTTACATAATTTATATAGGGGTCCGATCTGCCCGGTTCTCATATACATATGTATTACAATAGAATTCATAGAAAGATTTAGGACAATAGCCTAAAAACTTAGAGGCTACTTTGCATAGGAACCGACAGCTCCAGCCGACTATACCAATTCAGCTATTGATGCTGATATATATAATCTATATACATACATCCAAAATATTAATGCCCTCTATGTGGCATACAAAATCTCGTTATCTCCGAATGAATTTAAAATAAAATGTAACCTTAAGCTCCTTCGTTTACTTAGATTTAAGACTAAGAATTTAAAGCGAACTTATGTCAAAAAGAAAAGAAAAATGTGTTGGCTTTTTTTCTGACTCTAAGCTGTTAGCCTTCAAAGACGAAACTAAATGTCTTGCGGCAAGTGACACTTGAAGTCATCAACGAAATGGTCCGACAATTGACATAGCAGCTAACGAGACTACTTGGCCCCGAAAGTAATTACATATAAAGCTGCTCTTTTTCGAAAATATTTCGGTTGGAGTAAAGTGAATTTTAGATAGCATCACCAGCTTATAAGTATAAGCTTATTACATTTTAATTTAAGTGGCTTTTAGCTAAATGAGTTATGCATTAGTTATACATAGTATTTAATTTCTACGTCCCGTTGATTTTACTCAATTGATTTAAATTTGCAAAACTCAAAGTGCATATGGGAAATAACATAAATCCCAGTTCTAATTGCAGCTTATGGCGCCCCGTTGAGGTGATGCGGGACGGCTTGCAGTGATTTTCAATAACTAAGTACCTCAAAGTAATGCTCATGATGAGGCATTCATGTTGAACACGAAATGAATGTGGGCCACCCACAAGCTGAAAGCTGCACAAGCAACTCGAGTGTAGATAACCAGCTGCAACAATGTAAGCTGAATGCACAAAGCTCCAAACTACTCTAGATGCTAGGAGCAGAAATGCTTCAGCTAAGAGTATTGCATTATGAGATATTATTAATATCCGGCATATTGTGAAAGCAGATACCTAAATTAGTAGATCAGCTAAATGCTGTAAATCTGGAAAACGTAGGACTTAAGATTAAGTTTTAGATCGGTTTACTTGAATCGCGGCTATAAGATAAGTTGTCTAACTGACTCAGTCACATTATTGTTTTAATAATAATACAAATTCTAACAAATAACTATAATTAATATAATTATAATAAGATTACAAGCGATACTTAATAAATAATATACTAGAGGATACCCGTTGCTTATAGATAATATTAGTGCAAAAAACCTTTAATGAGAACGACTGCAAGTGATTGACAGCGAGTGATGCACATAAGGGAAGTAGACTGAGAATGATACAGTGAGATAGATAGTGCGAAAGAAAGAGAGACGGGGGAGCGAGAGCATGTGAGAACAAGTGGGCAGAGAGTCATAGAGAAGGTCGCCTTCATACAGACAGACTGGATGCACAAAGTTTAACTCCCAGCAAACAAATAAAAAGGAAATATATATTATCTAAATGTATATAGATAAATAATAAATCAGACACTCAGCTGAAAATTCTTAATTGTTGCATATAGCCATAATTGTTGCTAATAGTCGGCTAAGCTTGTGCAGCGCACAGTAATTGCCAACCTGTACGCACTTGTAGGAAAGCCCAATGGAGGGGTGCTTGCCATTTGACACAGAGATCACGTAATTACGTTAATGAGACTCATTAGATGCGCCAATGGTAGCCAGGCTGGAGCGGAAAGGCACAGAGACCCCCGGCTGCAGTTGCCCTGATAGGAGTTAAGATGTATTTCTTTATAAGTGCCACATGCAACATGGCTGACTTTGCTAATGCGCTGTGAAAACTTGTGGCAAACGGCTTTAAAGCTCTCAACGCAATTTAACAAATGACGCTACAATATTAATTTCAGGAATCTGACCACATGACTGCCCACAAGAGATGTGGGCAACTGATGGCCAACAAAACTGCAGCGTACAAGGCAGTTGAGTTCTGTTTGATGGGCATCAAAAACTAGCAACCAGTGCTGTGGCAGCTATGCTCGTTGCAGCCGCTTGCTAATTGTAGTTAAATCTAATATGCAAAGGCTACAGCAGACACAGGCAGCCCAGCCAGGCTGCATCCAGGCTGCCATTTAGGCCCTGCTGCACGTACACTTTAAATGCTCTCGTGCATTCCGGCGGATGTTGGGTGTGCACTGGGGGTGGCAGGCACATTGTTGCCGCCCGCTTTGAGCTAAAGCTTTAACGGTTTCGGCCCAAGCTGTTGGTAGCTGCACTTAACGACGCATGAGTTTGCTTTGGCCCTTTGCCGCAATTTGCTCGTCCGGCTGCCTGACGCCAGGCAAAAGTTTTTCAATCAATTTCATATGAAAACTTTTCATTTAGTACACAAAGGCTGACAGTGCGTATGCTTAATAAAAAGACAAACGAACAGTCATAATTATTATCGGATACCCGAGGCTGGAAAATAATATTTTCTCTAATAATTTTATCAGTTTGTAAGCCAAATATATTTTAAATTTTGTGATTGTTCTTCATTTTAAATTAACTTCAAAAGCAAACTATATATGTTAAAGCAAGTTATGCGAGTTGAAAATGCCGTGAATTGTGTCCCTCTAAATTCGATAACCGTTTATATATATTTTTAAAGGCTTTGCAGTCGTAACATATTGCAATAATTAGCCAAACATCGCATTTGTTTTTGTGCTTAAATGTATTCAGAAAACCATTTTGCTGAAGGCAATCTAAATGGAGTTGGCTGCTTCATTTTATTAGCTGATGGTTCGGTTTTATTTATTGCATATAACTAATTTTCAAAGTCCATGCAGAATTTATTATTAATTGCGAACAGAAAATTAACGACTGTCACGGCTGTTTTTGAACATGTGAAAGCAATTCGAACTGTCAAAACAATATCATTTATTACGCAATTGAAGTTATTACAGCGCCACAATTGACTGCGTGGAGTGCTCGAGGGGGAGAACTTTACTAAAGTTTTCAAGTCGATTAGCTGAAATTAGAGAAATAAAAAATAAGCTGCAATAAATTAGGCTAATTAATGGAGGAGGTAAACAGCCAGGTGTGGCTTGCCTAACTGCACAACTAAGTTTACATAATAAACAAAGGGCTTTAGCCTTAAGCTGATTTTAAGTAAAGCATAAGGACTCAAAATAAATACCTATCACTTTCTTCAAATGTTATTTAATACTCAGCTAAAGGAATACAACTACTTCTCACTGTAAACGACTGAAGCTTATATTTCGCTTTACTCCTGGCGAATTTATATTGACTCGGAGCTGCGGGCGCTTTCTGTTGCTCTTAAGTTTCACGGACATCTTCTTTGATTTTATTGCTGTTCATGTACTTTTTCAGTTTTCCGTGGCAGCGTTTCATAGCCTCATGTAAATTAAATTTCATTAACATTCCGTATGTTGTCAAGTTGCTGAGTTCTGCATATTATGGCTACCCCGCTGAGACTTGGCTTGGCAGAATTCAAATTGTTTAGAAACTTGTTCAATTCTTTGAAAATTATGGGAAAATAAATAGCTAAGCTTATTTTGAGTTTACATATTTTTAAATTAACTTTTATATAGTTTTTTGTTTAATTTATTACATAAGAATAATCAAGCTTTACATAAATTATATATAAGTGTATAGGACTTAATTACACAACTAATTTTATAAGCGAATTATGTCTATTTTAACAAACAACAATTTTTCGTATTATTATTCTTTCTTTTCCGAGTGAAATGACAACGTTTTAATCAAATTATATTTTGTTTTGCCAAGTGCTTATTATTTTTGTTGACTTATCTACTTATTGTTATTTTTTTTTTATATTAGATTTATTATTTTAGTGCTTTTTACAAAGCATCCGAAGTGAGCGGCATTTTTATTCAAATGCGCGGCTGTTTTTATATTAATATATATTTTTTATTTAATTTATCAACAATTCAATTTGTGTTGCATACACAAGTTTATGTGTACCTATTATAATTGATTGAAAATATTTGCTGGGGCTCAGTTGCAAACACTTTCATCAATATAAAATATATATTTTTTTTTTAGTATGCATATACAACAGTTTTATGCAGCCTTCGCCTATCACTTATAAGTAATTTCTTTAACAGTCGATGCTTTTAAATAAAATCGCTCGATATCAACTCAATTATATAATTACTTTTATTATTGGCTTAAAAAGGATGCAGTGATTGTTTAAAAGCGCATCGATTAATATAGCAAAAGCTAATTTCTTATGTACAAAAAGTACAATTATGTAAAATTTCACGCAAATTATTTTAACAAATAATTGCACTGTCACTGCATATTCGAACCAATATAAGTAAGAAAAATAAATTTGAAGAACTATACATATTTATATATGTTTCTAATTATTATTTTCTTTTTATATTCAATAGCTGTAAATATATACACCGCGACAACATTGAATAGTTGCTATGGAAAAAAAATAACGCGCACAACTCTTGCAGCTATTTTTTGGGCCATGTAAATGAAAATCCAATACTAACATAAGCGCATTATGTGCGCTTTGTCATCCTATTTGATTTGCAGTTGACAGCAGCTGCACGGGGTGGCTGCGGGAGGGGGTGGGCCGACGTTACGTGTACTCTTGCATGTGCACACAACAAATTTTTTTTGGGAATTCTCTGAACTGTAAAGGACTGCTGCTTGTCATACATACACATGGCTGTGGGGAATCCAACGGTGCGTATGAATGCTGCGCATTATTATCAATTTTTTATTGTTATATATTTTGTTGTTGTTGTTGTTGACGTTATGCAAAATGCCCTAATATATATGCAATAGTTTATTGTGCGCACCACAAAATAACTTATCAACCGTAAACTGTAGATTTGGACCAAACACGTTTAAACACGGAACAAGACTTATTGAATTTTAAATTTACATAAGCAGCTATCCGCTTTTGTGCGCTCAACACTACGCGACATGAGTGGAACTGTTGGTGGCACTGGCACTGACAATGGGCGCGCACAGGTGATGATCTAGGGCACCGCTGCTGCTGTCCACAACCACGACAATGGCCTGGTATGGCGCCGTGGGCAGCGCTGCCAGCTTAGCTGCTGACAAGCAACGTTTCAAAGGATTTCCTCCAGTAGTGTTGGCAACAGCCACCTGGCTGCATGTGCGCTCTATTGGCGGTTTTGGATAGAAAAGCTGCTGCTTCTGCTGCTTCTGCTGCTGCTGCTTGTGCTACAGATTCGTCACCTCGGTAGCATTGTTGGTCGTTGTGGTGGCGGCAAGCGTCACCACTTGTGGCAGCTTGTGCGTCGACTGGCACTTGTCAGGCGCCGCTGCGACCACAGAGCGCTGCAGTCCGTCCGCCCGTGACGCAGCAAGTTCATCCTGTGCCACCGGCAGCCATTTGTCCAGGAACTTGGGTCGAAAGAGCAGCGTAAATGTGCTGCGAAATTGTTTGCTCATGGAGCAATAGAGTATGAAATTGATGCTAGAATTGATTAAAGCCAGTACGTCCATAAGGTCACCTAAAGAAATGGAGCGCATGGATTCAATGTGCCGAGCAGCCCAAGATTAATGTACAGAGCAGACACTTACTCAGTCTTAAATAGCACTGCATGAGGAATTCATTGCCCAGCACACTGTTCAGCAGTCCCAAAATTCCTTGCGGAAACTCTGTGATTAGGAACAGCAACAGCACCGCCAGCAGCATGCGGGTGGTGCGATCCGTTTGCTTTTCTTTTTCCAGCGTTTTGCTATTCTTGCGCGGTCGCTCCGCTGCCTTTCCGTTGACCAAAGTCTTTGTGCCGTTGCTGGCCGCCGGTTTGCTGGTGAGCTTCTTGCGACGTCGCTTTGCCTCAAGCAGTGCCATAATGAGCCGCACCGAGAGTATGGTCAGCGCTATGCAGGGTATCAGTTTGATGAGCACGCTGTAGATCAGAAATGTGGCAGTCTGCAGCGAAGTATTGTGCAGCGCCAGGTCGCTGTGGTACAGTCGATAGACGGTCACGTTGCGCACCACCAAAGAGGCGGGCGGCACAGCTGTTGGTGGCATTGGCGTTGTGGGCAAGACGCTCATGTTCAACCACTGCGTAACATTGGCTGTGGGGCTAGTGGGAGTGGCATTTACAGCAACAGACATTTTAGCCTGCATTTCGTTTCTATAGTCAATCACATACTGACTCATGGGTATGCTGCTGATCAGATTGCCCTCCACATCCAATTGATCCATAAACTCTGCTATGGCCGTGATCAGATACAGTGAGGGTGAAACGACCAGCACACAAACCACATAGGCTGTTGTTATGGTTATTATGGTGGTGCGCATGCCGCACCACACGCGATTCTTTTGCGGATGGCCCACTGCAATGTACCGCCAGACAGCCAGCGTAACTGTTAGCCAGATCGAGATGGTGTGCAGCACCTGTGCAAAGATCGAATGGAACTTGATGAAGCAGGCCCAACCATAACTCAGCTTCTGCTCCCTGGGCAGACTATCCTTCAGTATGTAATCGTGCACCGTATACGGTATATATTCTAACATCACAGCCAGATCGGCCACAGCCAAGCCCGTTAAAATCGCATTTGTGGGTGAACGCATCTCGCGTCGTGTCAGCACAATGATGTTTAGTGTGTTGGCTATGGTTCCCAGTATGCAGACCACCAGCGAGACATAGCCATGCATGTTCTTGTAGCTGTAACGAAAGTAAGAGATGAAGAAAGAGACAGAGAGAGAGATGGAATGAGTGTATGGAATGCATACAAAATCATTTAATTAACCTTAATAATATTCAATTTATATGTAAATTGTCTTAGTTTATGCATTTGCCGGGGTTTGACATACTGTTGAAACGGACTCCCCCTCGGTTTTCACATCCCAGGTTTTGCACTAAGCCTTGTTTATTCATATAAAAGACGCGGTTTAAATGGGCTACTACTAAATTTGTCTAGTTAAAACGTGTTGGTAATTATGAAAATCTTTAAAGCTAAGTTACATTTTATTTGCGTTTATAAAGAAAATTCCCTGTTAAAGCTGCCTTGGATACCTGTCTAGAAATAATAAAGCTTCAAAGAAACGTGTGGGTTTCGCTTTAATTAGCCGGGCCTGCGAGTGGTAAAACATTAATGCTTGCTATGTGCCACAGAGTGTGGCATCAAGATGCTGCTGCTGTGGCTGACGATTGGAATGTGGATGCTTAGATTAGGGCCTGTCTGCCTGCTTTAGTAATTAGATGTGTATCTAACACTTGGCCATTTGCTTTGTATGTCAAATAGCTACGTGCCAAATTGCCGAAGACCAAAGCTGAAACTTGGAGTGTGCTGTCACGGCCAAACGGCCTCAAACTCAGTTAGTCACTCAAGGGCGCGCTCATGTGCGGCACACAACGTGAAAAATTGTAGCGCCAATGTGTCAACAGTCGTATAAAAGAATAAAGACAGCTTGACGGACAGACAGACAGACAGACAGACACGCGCACATAAAAACTTCAAAAAGTCAGTCAAGTGCAACCCTTTATGGCGTCAACTGTCCTGGCAACGCGACGTATGCGTAATATTAATGGCTCGGCTGTAGCCAAACTTTGACACACGCATAAAACAAGCAATTAACATGAATAATAATCATGTTCATTTCGCAGCTCCTGTTTTGACAATAAGTTAAACATTTTGTTTGCCCAAAAAAAAGGGTCGTTTATAGAAGCAAATGAAATAATAAATTATTTGCTGCAAAAGCAGAAAAAATTCTTTTAATTTTGATAGACAGCTTGTCGCTGTGTCACTTTTTGTAATAGCTTTTAACTAGTTTTAGTGTGACGTATTGCATGTCAGCCTCAAATCGAGTGCGAAATAGAATCGGTTCTATTTTTTTTTTTCGTTTGTTGCGCTTGTCATTGAGGACAATGGAACAAGTGCAGGACATGTCCAGGCAGGTGTCCAGCGTCGCCCCGCCAGCATCGCATCTGCAGTTAAACAAGCTTTTTCATTTTTGGGCGAATTTTACAGCACCATTCATCAAAGACATTTGGCCGTCGCGCATTTCAGACGCGTTTTCTTTGGCCAAGCTCTGGTCCTGGCTGCCGCTGTGTTCGCCTAATAAAGAATACCCAGCTTTGTTTAATTTATTGCTGCTGGTAATCTTAGTTGATGAATGGCAACATAGACCCATACCTTAGCATTGAATTGTTTTCTTTAAAAAAGTTTTAAGACTACGCACAGATGTGGGTACATACATATGCATGCATATATTTCGAGCTCTTTAAAAGCCTTGTTGCCAGTTGGTAGTTTCTTCCTTTATAATTGCTGCAAATTTTACTTTGCCTAAATGAGAAAAGGTGTAAAAAAGTGATTTCTTTGCTGCCCAAAATAGGTTCTACGCAAACGCACCAACTGGGGATTTGCTTACATTTACTATTTTTTGGGTAAACATGAGCAGAGAACATAGCAAACATATTGAGAGCAGCTTTTATTGCACTAGCGAGGTCTGAATACCCTAACAGACATATTGGACAGGGCTGTCCCATCCTATCCTTCTTCCTATCATTCTTATATGTAAGCTGCTTTTCCCGTATAGGTAAGCAATAATACCCTTATTGCCTTTCAAAGGGTTCGGGGTATGCAAATATAAAAGAAAAGTAAATATAGACATTACCTTTTTTTGTAATATTTGCAATTACGTGAAACAATGCAAGTACACGTAAATTTTTTTCGAATCCTTTTATAAATGATCAGCTAACGCGTTGGTTTTGTTGATTTTGGAAAGCCCTTGTTTGTTTTTTTGTAACAAAAAGTGAGATGAGAAAGGTAAACAGTAAACATTTTACCTGAAGCAAGCAAAACAGCAGCAGTAGCTGGCTTCTCTGTATAATATACATGTTTATGGTACCATGCCAAGGGATCTAGTATAGCATTTAAGTTGCGAGTAAAAGCGTGTGGCAGCTTTAAAGCCCTCTGGGGTTGAGCTACACACTTGACGTGCCTCACACTTTGCGTTAAGTCTAATTTCTCGAAGAGCAAACGACGAACGGAAAACCACAAGCAACCCGCCCTTGCGTGCATCACAAACAAAGCCCGCCTGGAGGCCAAATCCAAAACGAAAGCTGCTGTCGAAAACTGCACCCACCTACATTTTTGGCTCGAGTCGCTGAACTCGGCCGTAAAAATTTGGGGAATAATTTGAATGCTCGGCTGCTGCAAACTAAACAACAACAAACAAACCCGAATAAAAAGGGCATGTTAAATATTTGTTGGCTGGAGGCTTACAGTTTTTATTCGCATTGCAAGCAACTGTTTGCCATGCACATGTGCTCTGTTTTTTATTGCCTAGCACGTGAGCTAAGCACCAGAGACTATTAAATTTAAATGGTTATCCAATGTTAAATTGATAGAGCGTTAAGTTTCCAATAACAAAGCTGAATCGTAATGTCTAATAAATGTGATTTTATTATAGCTCAATTAATCAACACTGGTTTTTATTTTAATGTACTTTTCGAGACAATAAAAGTGATTGTTTTTTTTTTATTTTTTTTTTAAAGCAAGTTGTTTAAACAAGTCTTTTTAGGACTTACTTAATTTTATGTTTAAGCTAAATTTTGGATAAATTTGATTTTATGTGCTTAAAGGTGCACGTTGGGACAAGGCTTCGGGAAATACCATTTGCATGTGTGGAAAAATCGCGAAAAAATGTTTTTATCAAACTTTTTTGTTTATTATGCGAACCCCTTTATTTAAAGGTCTTTATTCAAATTCATTTGAGGGGCGTTTCACACTTGGAGACCTCCTCCATAACTTATTGGTTGCTAAGCTTTGATTATTAATATATTTACCCATTTTAGGCTGAATCTTAAAGCTGTGAAAATTGAATAAAATTTGAGAAAAATAACACTTAAGATATTTTGCAGCAAATATTTCAAGTTGCGTGTTCGAGAGAAGCGGAAGAAGCACAGCAGCTGTCCAGCTAGTCCGGTTCTGGGTACATATAAGTCCGGCCCGAGCCTTTTTATATGCTCTTTCCTACTTTTTGTTTGTATATATATTTCTCACTTTACGAGCGCTGAGCATGCGATAAACATAAATATTTCCTGCCGCTTTTATATACATTAATTGCATATAATTTTTATATCTGTTGTTGCTGTCATAAAATTGTCTTCACAAACAATTGTCGTGCATATAAAAATCCACCAAGTAATTGACGACGCGAATTATGGCACTTTGTGGTACAAAATCGAAGTAAAAGCCCAAAAAATATATAGCATTATGATACATTAATCGATTTTTGATGACATTAAGCAGCAAAGCATTAACACTTAAATATCCTGGCGAGTGCTGTCATTTGTCCTTGGGGAGCTCTCGAGGCGCAGACACTGACATTGGCATTGGCAAACTTACCTCGTATGAAAATTATCCGTGCCCGTGCCGCAATAGAGCGGCGTGGTATCATTGCTGCCGCCAGCCATTGTTTTTGTTATTCTTGTTGTTCTGCTGCTTGTTGTTGTTGTTTATGTTGTTGTTGTTGTTGTTGTTGACACTCTACTGTTGCCGCTCTGTAGTCAATGCAGCCGCGACTGCCAAGGCCAGCGGCGGCGGCTGCCTGTGCATTAAATGCGTTGCGCGCAGACGCATTAATAATAAAATATTGTTCAAATTTCCAATACGTTCTGCAAATAGAATAGAAGAAATTTAGATAGTGTTTAACATGGCGTATAATTAATGCAAGTTGTAAAATGAAGCGTATACGCCACATGTGCCGCAACTACTTAAATATTTCATCATGCGCCTCGGGCGCCTGCCACTTAGTCAGGCCTTAAGCCGATTAGCAAAGTGCAGCAATATTTTCATGCTGATCACAACAAGTGGCAGCTAGAACATGGCGAGCTTCCATTTAATTGGCACAATGGCCAGCTGCAGCGCATCTAAATTAGAGCTAAAGCTCGTCATAAAAAAGGTTGCCACTGGAGCTGACCCAGACGTACCGCATTTGTATGGCATATTTGCCGTAGATTCTCTCCGTAGCTAAGCGATAAATTAGATTTGTATTTGCAGCACACGCAGACAAATGACATTCCTTGGCAAATGTTATCCATCTTGCAAGGTCTCAGTATCTGTGACTGTCGTCTATCTGCCTTACTCAAATCTCCTTTGTTCCCGTGCTCGGCTATTTGTTATCTGTCATTTGCTTTGCTTAGCACTCGTTGCGGTTGCCACACTTCCTGCTCCTAGAGATTTTAATTGCATTTGCGGAAACGGCGGCACTCGGCTGCCGGCTGCCGAGTGTCGGGCCAACGCTGAGGTTAAGGCAACTTCAATTAACACGTTCCATGGCATGCAAAGCCGCAGCAGCAACAACAAGAATGCTCCTTTAATATGCAGCCCTATGATTTATAATTCTTTCATAACATGTGTGTGCAATAAAATATTGTGGGCTTTAAACTTAATTAAAATTCATTGATTCATGTGGGGAAGATTTTCAATAAGCACAATGCAGTCACAATTGGGTGAATATGTAAAAGAATTTCGTTTACTAAGGCTCCTACTTCTATATTGGCTGCAACGTAAACTTGTTAATTTAAAAGTTTCAACTTACTGCTCGCCGGTTCATTTGTTTGCAGCTATAAATTAATTAGCCTAATTAATTTGCTACAATTGATTGTCACTCTTCTGGCCAAAAGAAATTAAATTCCATGCACACACACACGCTTGCCCGCAGCTCTGGCACATTAATAACAAAAATTCTAAGAACTACGTGTAGCCGCCAGCGCGTATTTTTATGCTTTTAATTACAGAAAACACACTCTCGTGCATGTGTGTGTGGGTGTGTAATAGGATGACAAATGAAATGATTAATTAAGGACAATGGCGGCTACTTTGCTTGACGGCGCACAAAAGTATGCTATGATTTTTGCAACAATGAAAAGACTCGAATCAAAGCAACTGATTATATTGAATAGCCAATCGCCGAGCTTAACATATTGGCCAACGAGTGGCAGACAAAGTATTGTATGAATTCACACACCGACGCAATCAATTTCACAACAACAAGAACTTAATTTTTCGCATGAAAAGCCTATTAATAACACAAATGTGCCACAGATTTCCATTTGTGCACAGTCCAATGCGCACAGGCCACAACAAGTACAATGCCCATCGGGCATCAGCTATTGGAGAGGCATCTGATTTGCGCTTAGGTAAGTTGAATGAATGCCAATGCCAGAGAGTAATGGTCAGCCAGTACACTGCCACAAATCGCAGTCACTGTAACCATTTGCCCTTGCTTTTGTTTCAATGGGCGAACAATGAAAAATGGACCCGACAAGTCAAACCGAAGGATCGTGTAACCTCTGAGCTGATGGAAGGCTATTTTTGTCTCTGCACCTGCATTAACTTCGTTTAGCTTCGACACTTGATTTATGCACTGAAGCGTGCATCACCTGGTCAGGCTTAAGGACTGAACATTGTCGGGACACATCAATTCATATGCATTTTATACTATCGATGACAATTATTGATTTGATTTTCTTTACCAGCATTGTTTAACGTATTTTCCCTTGTGCTTGTTTTTTCTTTCTGCATTTTATTTATTTTCGTGTAAACAAAAAGTTGAATTTTCCTCGAGCATTGTTGTTTACACAGGGCGCTCCCAGGGCACTGGAATTATTTTAAATTGTTTTTTAAATGGCCAACGAATAAAATATTTCAGCTGTAAGTGAAGTCGTGAATGATGAAGCTGTTTTGCGAATAAGCGCAACAGCCGGGTTTTGTCTTTAAAAAGCAACTGCAAATTGTCGGAAATTTGTTCGATTGAATTGTTGATTGCCGTAAAAAGATGGCGAAAGGAAATTAGAAAATTGTGATTCGAGTTTCAGTGTGTAAAAAGATTGCGTAGATACTCAGCAGCAGCTGCTACAATTGAGAGAGTTTTAGATGCTTAAATGGAACGCTAAAAGGATATGTTTATATAATCGGTTGGAGACGGAACAGGATGCGTACGCAGAATCTCACGAGGCTATCTAGTATGCATGCACATTTTAAGACCAAGGAATATGCTCATTTGTTGGCTGGCAAAATCTAACAAAAAAAATGTCAAATGTCTCCTTAAAATTCTACAACTTTTTTACCTTTTTCTTTAAACAAAAAGTCAACAACTGAGTGGGAATTAGCTTAAATACACCAGAGCTCAACTAGGTAAAATAGTTTTCAATGGAAAAATTGTTGATTTCTTTATCCATCCAATCTTTCTGAGCAGCTTATCTATCGGCCTGCCTGCAAATTTAATTTACAATATGGATGAGAATGAGATGGAAAACGATACTTATATATTTTTACTCATTTACACAAACTATTTCTTTCCGACTTTTCTCCCTTCTTTATTAAATCATTTGCAATTAACTTATATCATGATGCGCTCTCACGCGGCAACATTGTGAATTTCTCATCAGCCATGCGACTTTCTTGGCAACAACAACAACAACAACAATAAGTGACAACTGTCGCTTCCCAAGCAGCGACGCTCCTCGCAAGTTAACAACAGCAACAAAGTTCACGGCGATGATAATAGATGGGCGCATGCTCCCTCAAAGGCAGCATCAGGCCATTAGGGACGTTTGGGTTGAACGCTGTGCAACACTTAAAGTCGTATACATAATGCATATGAGTTGCCACGCCCACTCAATGTTTAAGGCCGCTTACATAAAATACAACTTTAATTGCTTGAAGCTACAGTTTTGACTTAAACGGAGCTGCATTTAACTTTAAGCATCATATTTATCATTTTGTTTCATAAAACAGTTGAGTCACGGTCACAGCGTGGCATAAATTGCAAGGGGCGAGGGTGGGGCTAGTTGGGACGATGTTTATGCCACTTGCAGCACGTCTGTCGGCCCTTGGTCATGACTCTACATGTATACAAAGTACAAACACACTGTACAAACATAAATACAGTTACATGCTGTAAATATTTTGGCCGACTTGCCATTCTGTCAGCTAATATCCTTACAAATTTCCGCCAGCTGAAAACTAAGGACAGCCATAAGGACATAAGCGACTCTGCACTCTCTAATCCTGACTCTTCATTCTCTGCTCTCGGCTTGCCAGTCTTTTGTGTGGCTGCCTATGCCTGAATGAACAAAAACAACATTATTTCTATGTCAGTTACGAAATTGTAACAAAAATGAAAAAGCGAACCGAGTACCGGATTGCCGAATAGCATATACCCTTGGGGATAGTTAAATGAACTTGTTGTCACGTTTGGTAAATATAAAATGGTATAATGTTTATATAATATAAGTTATATTGTATAGTTATTGTACAAGACTCGACAATGATCAAGCTCCTTTCCATATGCAAATGCTTAATAGTCCGATTCAGCCGATATCATGAGAGTGTATTAACTCTTCGTTCTGATCGTTAGCCCAGGTATTCTTCGAGGTTTAATTGGTGCCTTTCTAAAGCTCTTTGTTAGGGCATTAAATAACGAACTGTTGGCTTAATTACCAGCTGGAAAGTTAATTTGGAATAATATTCTGCCAGTCATGATGACCTGTCAAGTGATTAAAATAATACCTTTGCACATTTATTTGCCTGCAAATAATTTTAATCAAACCGCACAGGTGCCTCGGCCTCGGCCTCGACCTCTCGACTGTCGTTGCCAATAATTCAAATGTCAGCTAACAGTTATTGTCATTGTGGTTGTTTTTGCTGTGGTTGTTATTGTTGTGGCTGCGTCTTATTTAAAAAATAAAAAATAAAAAGAGCTCGACTTATTACGCAAAATGAAGCTGAAATATGTTTAAAGAAAGTTGAAAGAAGGGTGCTTTATGCATATGTGTGTGCAGTGCGTTTATATATATATATTTATTTATATATATGTTTTTTTTATGTGTGTGTGCGCATGTGTGCGTGTGTGTGTGTGTATGTGTGAATTTCCAATGTGATGTATTCATTTTCAGTGATTCTTGCGCTTGCCACGCATACGTCATGTTGTCTGAGTCTGAATGCGAGCGAACAAAAGCGAGCTCATTTGACATTTGCATATGGTATATGAAAACTGCTTAAGGAAACAAAAGACAATCAGACCGCGAGACAGGCAGACAGACAGACAGACAGATAGATGGCTTGCATTTGAAAGTTGGATGTAAAAGAAGCGAGAACTTATTCTTTTCTTCACCATTATCAGAAAACATTCCATGAATTTAAATGCCTTTGCAATCTGATGTACTGTCTGGCATTGATAAGTTATGAATTTGATATTGCATAAGTGGATTTCCAGTTATCAAAAGCATGAATTCTAAAATTGTGCAAACAGCTGAAATGGCTGAGCAATGACTTAGATATTGTTATGCACAGCAAACATGTATTCGGATAAATAGAGTGTGCTTCATTAAGTTTGGATTTCATGAACTGCTATGCAAATTTTGCATAATCAACGCTCCAGCACGTATATCCTGTTTGTGCAAGCCATCGGCTGCCCACTGCCTGCCATAATAATGAAGCTAATTGCGGTCTCGCCAAAGCTGGTAATTGAACTGCAACCGTAGCCACAACAGCAGTCAGAACAACAACAACAACAATTTGGGTTATCAATGCAATTACACATGAGTTCATACTATTTGCAGCGCCCGTTATTGTACGTCCCCAAGGACCAAGCCGAGCTGGGGCAGCA